CAACGTTCAACTTCTCATACATATTAGAAGCACTAAGATATGGTCTCAGTTGCAATTGACATGTTTGCAAGTTAAAAAAATATCTATTGCAAATTCTAGTAGGTACTCGAAAAAAATTGTGTAACTAAATAATAAAATATCGTGTCGTAAAGAATCCAACTATTTCACAAACAGCGAGCACAGAGAGATAATGCAATGCAATTGTTGCTGATCGTACATTGTGGGTGTATGGCGCGGTGTCCAGTGTCGGCATCGGAGGAGTCGGCTGTCGTTGAATCAGCAAATAACCAACCCCTTCGCCTACAACGACGAAAGGCAGGCAGGCTAGGCGCACTGTGGCTCAATTTATAATTGTACTGTAAAAATTATTGGGAACTTTTAATTGGAACGCGAAATTCATCATCTTCAATTCATCGTCAGGTACTTATGTCGTCTAGCGCGACGTGTCATGCGAGATGAACGACATTCACCTTGAACTTAGCACACGAGGCGCGGCCGTCGTCGCCTCGCCGCACGCCTTCACTCACCCCGCCGCCGGAGGCAACGCAATCTCTAATGCGACGAGCCCACCGCCGCAGCAGCTGCAATAGTTCAGTGAGACTGAGCAGCCCCAAAAACTGCGACCCAACAAAGCGGCGCGACTCGTCCGCAGCATGCGCTCGGTATTTTTAGCGCGGCGACGCGACGGCACGCGGACATGCTCGCACCAACAACAACAATGCTGTTTAAAAATAATGCGCTAATCATCTCGCCGGAGCGTCGTCGCCTAAGCTAAAGATTCGTCCGGTTGGCGCGTCGCGTCCCTCACTGGGGCGAGACCGCACTGCCCTGAACGACACGATAGGGTTTGGTATTGAGATCACTGTTTACCACTTTAGAATTTCGTCATTATTCTTCTGATACACGGTCGCGTCGCCAAGCATATAAGTTGTTTTGCTGTGTTCACGCGCTCTGGTCGAACGCCAACCTTCGCCGAGCAGTTGTGTCAACAGCGCAACGCGACGTCAGCCCGACGAGTGCGATGCGCTGGCGCACTAAACGACGCACAGTGTATGGAAAAGCCATGAAATTCAAATTTTTCTATTATAGGTCTTATTGTATCAAATATAGGAGCAAAACTCACGTTTATACATTCCCTCTAGTTTAAGAGTAAATTGTTACCAAAATTACAATTTTTACACCTGATAAATCTTTAAAAATGGCTGCCTATGAACTTTGCCCGAATAGGTGGCAGTAATTATTTTGAACGTAATAAATTTAGGGTTTCACTCTTAGAAGATGTGACGTGATGTGAGATGTGTGCACCAAATATTTATTATAAATATCTTGTCCACTTAAACTTAACACGCACTTAAAATGAAACCCTAAATTGGTGGAACGTCGTCGATTCGGGAATCGACAAAATGCTTGCATCACCCGATTGTCCGCGATCACAAATTTAATTTACGTTCAGTGTATCTCTTTTGTTATTATTATTAGGTACTTAAGGACAGGAGATTCAATTTTAGTTGAGAGCTGTCACATTTTAATAACTTCTTAACATTCAGTAATGATGTATTTAATTAATTAAATTAAATTGTAATTGTAAGATGTATGTAAGTTGGCTGTTGTTGTTCCTTAATAATAAAATAAAATAAAAATAATAAGAAGTCGTGATAAAATTGCTCGTTCTAAATAAGTAGACTTTCTCACTATATCACACATAATTGACTGACAAAAATGTGATTTAAAGGTTATTACTAATTCAGGATTTTCTATTTCTTTGTGCAATAAAGAATCCGTTAAGCTTTTAGGGAGAAGTAGATAATCAATACATGAAGCATAAGCTGTTGTAATCGTGAATAGATGCAGAAACAGTAATGTTTTCTTAAGTTTGCAAGGTGCTGTTTCCACCCCAGCAATCAACTGACAAATTGATTCTCAACGAAATAAATAACGAAGACGTTGATGTCGTTAGTATGACAAACCGAACACGGTAGGCAAGTAAGGGGAAAGCCGCGGGGCAAGGCGAGGGCGGGGACGTTCGCGCCGCAACCAGCCTTCGGTAATTTGCATTTTTACGAGACACCTACCTCGTCGGTTACCACCGCCGCGCCGCACCGCGGTCCCCTGTCCAGTCTATAGGTTCACCGGCAGCAAACGCAAGAAGATACAGTCTGTTGCTTTAGCTACTTGTCTACAGTACGTAGGTACAAAAATTAAATAAGCCTATTAATTGTCCACACAGCACTCAAATTATGATACATTTTCCCAGATTTAACCACTGACTGGTTGAATATATTACGTACAAAACATACGCATTTCTTAGAACATTTCACAAAATATACCGAAACCTCCGTAGAAACGTATGTCAATTACGGGTTATGTCAACAATCTTCTCATCCGACAAGTGAATATTTCCAGAAATGGCAATTTAGAATGATAATTCGGGAGATTTCGACTTAATATTCTGAACGTGGTACGGTACAACAATCAACAAAACAACGACACAATTGCGACACTCTATTACTCACACGTAACTTATGTATCTAAGAAGTCTCCCTAAATTACACAGAATACCAATGTAACAAGAAACGTCAAGTCAAGTAAGTGATACTCTAGATATTGAAGGATAGGATAAATTTGAATATGGCTATTTTTAACACTCATCAAACAAATTGTGATCAAAAGTCTGGACGTGTTTCACTGCCCTTAGAAACTTAAAATTTGGCTTGGAGTTAGGTCGTTGGACATAACGTAAAGGAAACAAATGGAAAACAGCTAATTGTAATTCGAAAACAGCCAAAATTGCGAACTAACAACTACTAAACTCTATTAACTAAATGACCCTCATTATATCGTCAAACATTCAATAATTTTGCAACTTATTCTAGTAGATTGATTTAAAGAAGCAATCGGAATGGCAGAATGATCATACCACATAGATTAACCTTCTGACACGGAATAATAGAATGATTCCCCTAGTTTCAATGTGTACTCACGTGGGCTATTGGCACATTTCGGGCATGTTCTCACCATTAGCATGCCCTTCTTGCGAAACTGTCTTTCCTACGTCGCCATCCGAGCCCACCTGGACGCCCTGGGGCCGCCACTTATTTTATTAAATTGGAGAAGAGCCATCTCTTCTGTGGTGATGTAGTAAAAATATAGTCCAAAACAAAAACTTATGTGAGTTTTATTAAAGGAAAGGTTTTTGCATTTATTATGGAAACAATCATTAAACTATGTCGTCAATGATAAAAATTGTCTGTTGCTGTTAAAATGACCACAAAGTTTTCGCTGTGACGACGGTGCCTGATGACGATCCGGCTATGGCGCGAGCGAGCCTGCGTGCGAGTCAGGCCAGCTTGTGACGGTCGCATGCGACCGATGGGCATCCATAACCCATAAATAACGGCAGAGGCGAGGGTGCGCCCGCCCCCGGCTTATTAATAATATTACGCCCGATTAGGCATGTCCCTCCCGGCGTCTGGGGACAAAGTACTCCACCCGCGTGACGTCAGCGCCTGAAATACGTGTTGTACCCAAGCGGGCGCAGGCAACAGGCGACACGAGCAGAGTGAAACCGGCCCCCGGTAGTGCCAAACCGGCGGTCAACGACTCCCGAAATAGATGCACAACGCGCGCACCTATAAGAAATTAAGAACCGGTCTTCGCCGCGACACACGGACACCGATAAAAATTCGATTCGAAAGCGGAATCCACCTGAGCGATTAATTTACAGCGGCTTTCTCCGACCTCTTGACAGCTCTCCGAGTGAACTTAACCGAGGTTGTCCTCAATTCCGTCTGAAGGAATACCCAAACTCGCCCTTCCGGCGACTTCTGCGATTGGGCACTGCGACCACCAGGGCACTGAAAACTTATCTCTGCTTGTTTATAATGATAACCTCTTCAGTCATAAGAGCCGAAGATCATTTTACAAAGTTACGCATGGCTAAAGTAATTCTTCAATAGAAAACGAATCAGAAACGTAATGAGAAACTAAAAAGCGAGGAAGGAGGCTGCATTTAAGTTACCAAAAACAGCAACGTCTAAAAACGGGCCTTGACCCACATCTTTATATTCGGAAATCCAAAACTTTCCATCCTCTAATGAATAATGCACATCTCGGGCAAAATTAGCGGGTCTCATGAATTAACGGCAGCCACGACGACTGCCTTCACTTAGAGGTGGGGTTCGCCTTCCACACTCTCCAGTCTCTACAACAACTTAGTCGAAGACTAGCAACTGCACAACAAAAAATTGTAATACTGACGTGAACGGTTGCGAGTTGGGAGCACAGTGAATAGCTGTACAGTTAATTACTTGAAAACGGCTGCCCGTTGCGGACAAGAAGAATTTTAATTAGTTATGTGAGCAGAGTTACATGCAGCAACAGCCAGCGCTTGCCGCTCTGCCCCGCCACTCGACTGACCGGCTACAAGTGTAATGAGTCTATGTATGCTTTATGTATGCTAAGTATAGTTTAATGTATTTACATTTAATGTTACTCGGCCTTCTTATCCCAAGAGACCATAGTAGTCAACAAGAATCAGTAATATTATGCGAATACTAAAATGGCATCTGGAACCTGCTGCAAATGACTCGTTGAGCTCGCGAGCGACACTAGCTTGCAGAGCATAACAAAAACAAACTTTCTCTCACTTCGACAAATATTTTCGGATTCTAAGTATCGGCTAATATCCTTATCTCATCTTCAAGAATATGTTTTAGTGTTCAGTTCGTTACGAAAGTCGTACGTTCGTAATAATATGACGTAACAACATGCTTAACCGCAACAGTGTGGATTATGTATAAAAGCGTAACTTCGGCGAAAGAACGGACGACGGTGACATAACCAGTTTTACTTCAGTACGAGAACTTTGCGCCCGAGGACGCTATAGCTAGCAGTAGCGTGCGAGGCGCGAGCCGCTCGTAGCCGAGACACGCGGCCGCGGCGCGGCCCACGGAGGCGGCGCGACCGCGTGGCAAGGCGCCTTCTGCCGTCCACAATCCTACCTGGTTAACGTTGCGCAGCCTCCTCGCTTCTTAGGCTGCTATCGTTCGCACCGAGAATGCCGACGTTGCGTCTTCGCAGCCTGCAGGCGCCGACTTCAGCGAGAACTATCTCGTCGAACGTGGAGCGCGGACGACATCTTTACCTGACAGTATTAGAAAATAACGATACGACTCTAATGCTGCCCGGTAAGATGCGAACCGCCACTCCCTGAAGAGAAGATGCGCAGGCGACGGCAGACACGCGGCACGGTGTCTCTCGGCGGAGAGAGACCGCGACGGCTCTCAGCGGCACCGGCGCCGCGGCCGGCGGCTCGGCGTGGACTGGCCGCGACGCAGAGCGCGCGCGGAGGCGCCGCCCCACG